TTCTCACTTACATAGTCCCATGACCTTTTTAGGCTTCCATGGCCAGTTAGAGGGGATTTTGGGCTATAGATCCAGGCTGCTGTTTCAAGAACAAAAGTCTCAGCCCAAGGACTTGCAGAGAGTAGGGGAATACTATCATCACCTTTTCCTACATTATTAACGATGCATTTGATTAGTCTTTTCTCTTTTACTATTTTTACATCTATTTTAAATTTTTATCATTACAGGCATCCAACGCAAAGACAGCGTAGGGTAGTGGTTAAGAACATGGGACTGCATTTCACAATATATACAAAGATTGAGTCATTATGTTGTTCACCTGAAACATTATGTAAAATATAATGTTGTATGTCAATTATACCTCTATTTTTTTTTTTAAAAAAAGGGGGCTAAGAAGTTGTTTAGTTAAGGAGTTGTTCAGTTACTTAGCATAAAACTTTTCAGAAATCTTTTCTATATAAGACCCTTTTAAAATATAAAGTAAAACCAATAAAGTGGTTTAAGTAAAAACAAAACAAAACTTGAGATTGTATATAAAGGCTGCCTAGATATGAATTCTAGCTCTGTGAATCCTAGCTCTGCCACTTGCTGGCTGTGTAGACATTGGTCAATTTGCTTAATGGCTTTATGTTTCACTTTCTTCATCTGTAAAATGGAGCTGATAATGATAGCTATCCCATAGTGTTGTTATGGGGACACAATGAGTTAGTATTTATGGTGTCTAGTACTATCATAGTGATTACTATATAAATGTTTTGAAAATTGGTATGCATATTTTCATCCTGACTATCACTACTGTGTTCAACCATCATGTTCAGTCAATTTTACCTCCTAAATATTTTGGGTACACTTGCTCCCCCCTCCTCTGCTTCTGCTGCCCTAGTTCAGGCCCATAACAACAGCAAACTGTTTGCAATTTTCCATACCTTGGTCTTTCCTATTGCAATTCTCTGACTCTCATGGCATCCCCTTCTCTAGCTATCTCCTACACCACCTTCTCTATTACTCTTTATCCTTAGACTACAAGCTCCTTAAGAGCAGAGACAGCCATCCTCTTTGAATTGTCAGCATGTAGAAGAATGCTTGGCACAAAGAAAATAGTCACCATTTATTGAATAATGGATACTTGCTGTGTCCCAGGCAATATGTACTGCTTCACATGGGGGATTTTCATACAACTCTAGACAAAACTCTGTGTGATAGTAAATACAATTATAATCCCCATTTTACAAATTAGAAAAATGAGGCTTAGAGAATCAAAATAATTTGGCCCCAAAAAACAGTTTTATGTTAATATGGCTGTTCTATTCTTTATGCAGTAATCTGCAGTTTGTAATTGTGTGAAGAAACAGAGTGTGCCAGGAAGCCACAATTCATATCACCTGATGCATGAAAATGTGATATTCAATTTGCCTTTAAAAGAGCTGTTACTTTATTTTTACATGGTTTGCTCTTAAATTACAGCATTTTTACATAGATAATATTTAATCTTTTATGAAAGCAAAAAATCCACATAAAGAAAAAATTTACTATATTTTACAATTAATTGATCTATGAATCAATTGGATGCTATTCTTTGACACCATCATATATATCAGGAGCTTTGCCTAGTACCATTCTTTTTTAGTTTACTTTTTTATTGTTGACATTAGTATAGATGTCCCTTATTTTTCCCCTACTTCCCCCTCCACCCAACCCTTGCCCCACCCCAGGCCTTCACCTCACTATTGTCTGTGTCCACTGGCTATGCATATATGCATATATGTTCTTTGGTTAATCTCTTCCTGCTCCCTCACCTCCTTCCCCTCTGAGATCTGTCAGTCTGTTCCATTCATCCATGCCTCTGGACCTATTTAATTCATCAGTTTATTTTGTTCATTAGTTTTCAGATATAAATGAGATCTTGTGATATCTGTCTTTCTCTGACTGGCTTATTTCACTTAGCATAATGGTATCCAGATCCATCCATGCTATAGCAAAGGGTAAGAGATCTTTCTTTTTTACAGACACATAGTCTTCCATTGTGTAAATGTACCACAGCTTCTTCAAAGTATACTATAAAACCATTGTAATCAAAACAGTACTAGCACAAGAACAGACATATAGATCAATGGAACAGAACAGAGACCCCAGAAGTCAACCCACACCTTTATGATCAATTAATTTTTGACAAAGGAGGCAAGAGCATACAATGGAGTAAAGACAGTCTCTTCAATAAATGGTGTTGGGAAAATTGGACAGATACATGCAAAAAATGAAACTAGACCTCCAACTTACACCATACACAAGAATAAACTTGCTTAGTATCTTATTCATTCATTATCATTTTAAAAAGTCTTTCATGGTCAACTAAATTTGTTAACAGTTGTCTACATCTTTGGTGGTAGTAGCAGCAGCTACTAATTATTAAGCACCTACCATATACTAAGCTTACTATGCTATAAGTTTTACATGCACTATCCCATTGAAGCCTTTTGCAATAGCTTTTTTGTTTGTTTGTTTATTTTACAGGTGGGGAACTGGGAATCACAAGTTTAACTCACTATTGAATAATGGAACCTGGACTGAAATCCAAATTTGTATGTCTCTGAAGGCTGGGTTTTTATCCCAAGCTGGAATTTGAAGGCTGTCGAAGTTACTTAACCCTCTCTGAGCTTCAGTTTCCTCAGTTGTAAAATTGAGGGAAGTAACACATCTTATAGGGTTGCTATGAAGATTAGAAATAGTAGATGCCCAGGGACCATATGCACATTGTAAGCATTTAAACCTTTAAACCATGGAGGCAATGTTTATGCGCTGTGGAATATTAAATGGTCAGAGAAAGATCTGAGATCCCTTTAAAGACATTGGGGAGCTGGAGAGGAAGAATATACAGCTTTGGCAGTCTTAAGAGCTGTCCCTCTCCCCTCCAGAATACAGTGATCCAATGAAACTGTGAGAGACATGTGAGGTGGCAGAAGCCTGAATTTGGCTCCAGCAACCTCTGCAGGGAGTCGCGAGAGAGGCTGAGAACTGGGAGGGGCATAGAAATCCCGGCTGTCGGAGAACTGCAGGTGTCAGGCAGAGTTAGCGAAGGTTCGAGCTGGCCAGCGATCAGGCTGGGTAGAGAGCGAGGCGGAGCGTGGAGCCTGAGAGGCTGTCCTTAGGCAGCTCTTCTCCCCCGCCAGGCACTTTGCTGCATCTGGAGGAGCTCATTGGAGAATCTCCAAAATCCGAACTGCCCTTCAACTACCGTAAGTACCTGCAAATGAACGCATAGTCCAGTGGCTGAAGATTAAATACTGGCCATCAGATCCTAAACAAAACCCCAAAATAGTCTCCTGCTATAATTAATTGCAGTTAATCAAACTGCTCCCCAGTATGTCCCCCCACCCTCTTCATCCCTTCTTTTCTTCTTCCCTCACCATTCCAGCCTTACCTTGCTGAGAATCTCTGGGCACTGTAGATATCTTCCCTTTATCTTCTCAATCTTCCTCCCAAACCTTCAGTGGAACAGGAACCCGGCACCCTCCGGAGCCCAACCCCTTTGATTCCTGGAGTCCTCAAAGCTACGCGGTTGTGGGATGGGAGGAGTCATTAGTCATTTCTAGTATGGGGTATGTCATGCTCAAAGGCACTGCGGAGGTGTCTAAGGGTGGGGAAAGTGCTTGAGGTGGAGTAGAAGAGGAGGGTAAAAAGGCTAGACTGTTGAGGTTGGGGGTAAGGGGTGTGAAAGGCCAAAATGGGTGTAGCCAATTAACCTGAAGTTTGCAGCTGCTGTCTGTTTCTTAGGCATAAAATTCATCATTTGGGCTGAATATAAATGGTATAGTTTCCTTAGTGGTTGGAGAGGGATCAGCCATGCTGATCATTCCAGCTTCTCTGATTCCATTCAAACCCTCAGGATGCAAAACCCTGGCTTATTGGTCCAAGTGACAAGGATGACTTCTCAGATGACATTCATGGGCAGAATCCCAGGTTGAACCTTTCCTTGGCAGTAGAACCTGGCTTCCCCAATAAATCCTGGCCAAAAGCCTCAGGGCAACAAAGCAATAGGGCGGCACCCAAACCCGGGCTTGACCCTGACCCTAAAAGGAGTAGAAATAAAGGCCTGAAATGGAAAGAGCATCTTTAGGGTCCTACACCAGGTTGATGTACACTTCGGGAAGAAGAAAAATAGACTCCTTTTTAAGAAATGTTCACAGTCCCTGGCACTGTACATATCTTATCTCTGATCCAACACAACTACAATGCTTAGGTAGATTTTATTCCCTCACTTCACAGATAAAAAAAGTTCAGAGAGGGTGATTTGAGCATCCTTCAGTGCAAAAAGAAACTGTGCCTTCTTGGCTCTCTGACTGTCCACCTGCTTCTTACAGCCCAGGAGTTCAACATGAATTGAATTTCAGCTCTGATATTTAATATTTTTTTACTTTGGGAAAATTATATATCTTCGTTAAGCCTCAATCTCGTCTCTTTTGCCAGCAAAATGGGGATGGTATGAATGCCTCCTTTGCTATGTTGTTGGAGGACTCAGTAATATACATGCACACACATATACAAATATATTTACATACATATTTATTTACATATGTATTTACATATATATGTATATATTTACATATATATGTATATGTTTACATATATATGTATATGACTCTCTACAACTCCCATTTCCTTCATCCTATGGCCTGGATTAGGTCACACCTCTGGGCCTTTGAGATCCCAGGTAAAAACAAACATTTCAATGAATCTGACATCTTAGATATCAGCAAAGACCTTGAGTGACTGGAGGGGAAAGTGGGGAAAAGAGGCAAGGAGAGGAAGTAACATGTGACCTTGTAATACCTTGTAATACCTTGAATGTCTGTGAGGGAGAAGGTAGTAAGGTTGTCAACAGCAGTTTAGTGATCCAAACTAAACTTTAAGGGGGACAAGTCTTTGAGTAAAAACACTTCTGCTTTTAGATCACACTACCTGCTGGGGGCAAAGCCCTTTAAGCCTTGAGCACCGGAGGTCTCATGACATTGGACAGGCCAGGGGAGGAGGCCACCATGCTGCAGACATTCACTCTCTTGCTCTTTTGCATTTGTGAGTACAAGGAAGGGGTGAGGGGCAAGTCACCCTGTCATAGTGTCCTTATGAGTAGGCACCTTGGGGAGGGAGAGGAGAGTATTCATATTTGTGAGTGGGTGGGGACAATGAGGGGGGCTTTCCTTTACCATAATCTCTTTTTTGGGGGTTGAATCTGGGTAGGACATCAATAGGTAAATGCGTACTGATACCTCAAGTACCTTCCTTCCTGAAGGTTCCAAGACATCGGCCTGCCTCCATGGCCCTGAACCAAACTGCCTTGAGATACCAAAGAAAATTCCCAGATTGAGCTGGTTGGGAATAAGAGTCCCTGACTTCATGACCTGGTTTCCCACAGAATAGCAAAGAGTTTTATCTCAGATGAAAAGGAAGCCAGGCTTGCACTTTGTTTCCCAATTCACTTGGATTCCTTGAACAAATATTCTGGGATCCTTATCCCACCTCCCACACGAGCAGATACTCCTGTTCCCAAAGGAAGAAAAAAGGAAGAATCTGGATCAAGACTAATTTTAAGGGACACTGGGGACACATTATGGGAGAGCTGTAGTACTCACATCTTTGTGATCTTTGGGAATGACAGTGACACAATCTCAACCTGAGCTGTGGATACAGACCAACTACCCCCGGACCCCATGGGAGAACATCACGTTTTGGTGCAAAAGCCCCTCTCTAATTTCAATCAAGTTCCTGCTGATGAAGGATAAAACACAGATGACCTGGATTTGCCCCTCCTATAAGACCTTCCAAGTTTCATTCCCCATAGGTGCCCTTACTAAGTACAATACAGGTCTCTATAGGAGCTTCTACTAGAAGGAGAAAGGCTGGTCAGAGCCCAGTAAAGTTTTAGAGTTGGAGGCACCAGGTAAGAAGACATAAATAGATAATCAAGAATAAACTCCAGCTCCTGGGATTCAAACTTGCCTTCCCAATGCAGGGTTTGTTTAATTCATTCATCCATTTACCTCAAATGCATGCATACATATATGCGGGCATTTCACAGTTAGTAAGTAACCAGCCAGTCTGTTCCACTGGAAGCACTATTCTTGTTTTACCAGTTCTCTCTCTTCTTCCAGGCCAGCTGCCCAAGCCCATCTTCTGGATCCACTCTGAGACCTCTCCTCTTTCTGGACATAATGTTAACATACTTTGTCATGGCTGGCTGCAGGATTTGGTATTCATGTTGTATAAAGAAGGATATGGCCAGCCCATGGATTACCAAATCCCAACTGGGACAGTGGCCATCTTCTCCATTGCCAACATGACACCTGAGAGCAAAATGGTTTACATCTGCCATACTCATATTCAGATACTCCCCACTCTGTGGTCAGAACCCAGCAACCCCCTGAAGCTGATTGTGGCAGGTGGGTGTAGCTATGGCTGCTGGGGCCTGATGATTGTTGTCCCCGGGATCATGGCTGGATGAGATAGGGTTTCTGATTTTACTTTCCTCTGCCAGTTCCTAGGCCCTGCAAGGTCCATTAGCTAGAGTCATTTGACATTTTAATGAGATGGAAATTAGAATCACACATGCTACCAGGCAGACCTGTGGGAGCCAATCTCTTGGCTAGTGAGTAAGCCCAGCCAAATGTCCAGCAGCTTCAGCTCATCACATTTTTGTTTTCTACTTGTTGTATAATATGCATTCATTTATTCATTAAACTATATTTATTGAGCACATAACATGTGCCAGGCACTGCCACTGCAATCTTATAAACTGATATTTTTAAAAATTAATGTATTTTTATTCTATTTGTTATTATTAATTTTTAGTGTGGAAAATAGAATGAGTTGTTAGTACTGGCAATAAAAAATAAGCAAAAATGACAAAAAAAGTGATAGTGCATATTTTAGAAATGGTTTTATAAATTGCTTTAGTCATGTATATACAGATCCAGTACAGCAGTAACAAGCTTTAAACACAGCAAAAGTCTCCCCCAAATGTCCAAATTCCAGACGCACACGCTTGCCCCAACTCCCTCATGCTATGACTTGGATGCCTTAAAAACAGAATTGGCCACATTTGCTTTAGTTTCTCCATCAAACTGCATAGGGTTGGGGAAAGCTGTGGTGCTACAGAAAGCACCCTGGATTTAGAAGCAGTAATCCTGGTTTCTAGTTCCACCTTTGACACTGCGTCCCTGTATGATCTAGAGCAAGTGACTTCACCTCTCTGTGCTATGGTTTCCCTCACTCAAACATGGGATAACAGCATCTATCCAATCTACTATATGGTGTCTCTCTGTGCCCCACTTTCCTGATTTGCAAAATTGGTATAATAATAATGCCTACCTCACAGGGTTGTTGTGAGGATTTGCCTAAATATAATATATGTACAGTGCCTGGCATATAAGTTCTCAATAAATGGTAGATATTAATTTTATTAGTATAGCTTTTTATTAAGGATCAAAAACAAAGGTCTGTCTGTTTGAACTGCGTGTATGTATGTTTTTTGTATGAATGCCCTTTCAGCAAAGATTCTACTAGCACACGCTTCTGCAGTTACCTGTTCACTGGCATCCCCTTTGGCCATGAGCTTGTTGTCTCCTTTACTTGCATATCCCTAGACTGGCATGATCCAAAATGCTCAGTGAGCATATGATGGAGCTGATCCTTCCAATAATGGATGGGTAAGTCTACTTGAGATTGGGGTAGGTAAGAAATAGTGGTATGTTAAGAAAGTTTGCCCTCTATTTTGTAGTATGATCTCCTTGGAGGAACAATACATGGAAACAAGGGTGTGGTCCAATTAACAGTGATTTCTTTGGGTTGTAGACTTACTGCCCAATCCCTCCTTATTGGCTTCTTCCAATCTGATGTTGAGTAATAGGGTCTTACATGTGTTCAAAATCCATCCTTAATACTGCACTTGCATTCATGCTTTACAAAGATGGAATCAAAGTCATTTTTTAAAAGTTTGTTTCTCAGTGGTTGGAAAAATTACACATGTCATTTCAGGGTTCTAAAGATACAGGGAATTACAGATGTAGATATTCCACTGAAACACACCATGAAGCATAGTTAGAGCTCAGTGGAGCTGATCGAGTCTGGTGAGAGGGCAGGGGCATAAGTGAACCTACCCTTGATTACCTCCTAGAAGAGGGAGAGATTCAAGGAAGGGGAGGGAGCAAAGGGTAAATTTCAGCTATCACTTCCTGTTTAAAGAAACTAGGAAAGAAAAAACAAAAAATAATAGGGAGGAATCATCCTACCTCTAACTCAGGGTCTCTTCCCTTTCTAGGACTCTATCCCAAACCAACTCTTATAGCTTATCCTGGGCCCATCATAGCACCTGGAGAAAGCCTGAATCTCAGGTGTCAAGGGCCAATCTATAGAATAACCTTTGCTCTAATAAAGCTTGAAGACTTAGAGAAGTCCTTTTACCACAAAAAGATAATAAAAAATGAGACATATTTCTTCTTCTGGGCTTTGAACACCCATGATGCTGGACATTACCTCTCTTTTTACTATGATGGGTCATACAGAGGTTCACTCCTCAGTGATATCCTGAAAATCTGGGTAACTGGTAGGAGAGGGGGATGCCATGGGACCTATATTAGAGACTAAGGATACGCAACTCCCTCTGGGCCCCTTGGAGAACCTAATCATGTAGCCAGGGATAACAGTGGGGAAGGAACTGGGATTTGCCAAAGGTGGACTGGAGGAAGAAGAGGAAAAAAGCCCCAAGTAGTAGGAGGAGGAAGTCAGGCTATTAGCCCTTTATATTTTGGGTCTCATCCTAGGCACTTTCCCCAAGACCTGGCTACTTGCTTTGCCCAGTTTTTTGTCCAGATAGGTCAGGACATGAGCCTGTGGTGTCAAGGACCAGTGGATGGAGTGGGGCTTACACTCTGTAAGAAAGGAGAAGACAAACCACTTCAACTCTTGTATGCTACCATCATCGATTATGACGAGTCATTCTTCCTCAACAATGTGACCTACAGTGATGCTGGCATCTATAGCTGCCACTGTCTCTTCTCCTAGGAAACCTCTATCAGGATGAAATCACACAATACCATGGAGCTTGTGGTTGTAGGCAAGTGCTAACAACTATTGTTTGTTTTTATCATCATTACAATGTTCTAAAAAGGTGTTAGTGGATCTTTATTCTCTTGGAGATATGAACCAAGGAAAAACAGTCTAGGAGTTTGGTGTAGACTTTTCTTCAAAAACTTTAGGTACCTTCTCTCCCAGGATTTTTACTCAAACCCTATGTTTCAGCATGACCTAGCCTCATTTTAACCCCTGGAAACGTTATTTTCTTTCATGCCAGGGCAAACTTATAGATATGAGGTCCTGATTAAAGATAGGAGTGGGCACCAAGGAATGGGCTAAGGAGTTCTGTTGCATGGTCAAATTTTGTAGGCTTTTGTTTGTCTTTCTTTTGTTGGTGAATTTATTAGGATGACGTGGGTTAATAAAATTATAAAGGTTTCAGGTATGCAACTCTATAATATATCATCTATATATTGTATTGTGTGTTCACCACCCCAAGTCAAGTGTTCTTTCATCACCATTTATCACCCTGTACCCTCTTCTACCTCCCCCAACCCCCTTACCCTCTGGTAATCACCAGACTGTTGTCTATGTCTATGATGATTTTTTTCTTTGCTTAATTCCTTCACCTTTTTCACCCAGTCCCCCAACCCTCCTTCCTTCCGACAGCTGTCAGTCTGTTCTCTATAAGTCTGTTTCTATTTTCTTTGTTAATTTATTTTGCTCACTAGATTCCACATATAAGTTAAATCATATGGTACTTGCCTTTCTCTGACTGGCTAATTTCACAGTCAAATTTTGAAGCCACTGATCTAGTGAAAATAGAAAGGAAGATAAGACAAAATAGGAAGCTGAAAAACATTTCTTGGGGAAGAGGGCACTGAGTTCAAGGTCACTTCTAACTCTGGTCTCTGGATTAACTGCAGATAAGCCCTCCAAACCCTCCCTGTCAGCCTGGCCCAGCACCGTATTCAAGTTAGAAAGAGCCATCACCCTTGAGTGCATCACCCAGTACTCAAATTTTCTCTGGAATGGGAAGAAAGAGTAACATTCCAAACATTCTCAGTGAATGGAGACTTTATTATCAGTAATGTTGAAGGGAAAGGCACAAGGACCTACAGTTGCATGTATCACATAAAGGCACACCCTAACATCTGGTCACATTGCAGTGAGCCTCTGAAGCTGATGGGGCCAGCAGGTGAAAGGACAACTCTTCATAAGGATGCCCTTTTATGGCTTTGACCATGATACCCTGGGATCCCAGATCAGTGCACAAATAGATATGGAAAGGGGAGTGAGGAGCTTGTAAGTCAGGGCCCTTGGGTATTGGCACCCTTCCCCTGAGGTGGTTTCACAATCACTCAAAGGCAGAGAGCAGGATACTTTCAAGGCTCCTTTTCTTCATGAAAAAGAAGACCACTTTGTTCTCACCTTACCTTCACTGTCAATAACCATCTCTCCCTTCCCACATGAATGCATTCACCTGTCCCTATCCCCATCAAGGCCCTGGCTTGTGTTCTCTGGCCACAGGCTTGCTCACTTGGAATTACATTCTGAATGAAGCTATCAGGTTGTCCTCAACCATGCAACTTGTCGCTTTGTTATTGGTAGTGCTTTGGATAAGGTGGAAATGTCAGAGACTCAGAATCAAGTAACTGCCTTGTCTCAACCCCCTGCTCCTCAATCTAGCTGAGTTCAGGCTCTCCAGAGACTCAGGCATGAGTCATGCTTAAGTTGAGATAAGCCACAGGGGTACACCTTTTGTATCCCCCCCCCCC